ATTAAAATGACTGTAATCAAAATAACAATCACAATTTACCAATTTTTTAAATTTTTGTTAACCAAACCGCCATTCAAAAAATAATATAACATTTTTTAAAAAAAAAAAAAAAAAAAATGACTGCAGGCTTTTGTTTTCGTTTCAAATAAAAGTTAAGGGGGCAAGACAGACTAAATTATTGTCGCGTTCACTTTCAAGTTTAAGTGCATATCATTATTATTTGACGACCAAAAATAAATAAAATTCCTTTCTATAACAGAAGAGTAAAAAAGAAAAGGAAAACAAAAACTGCCATCATTTCCTTCTCAATAAATGAAAAATGAAGAGTAGATTGCAGTAGACAATGAAGTAAATGAATATTTAACTATATGGGATGGCAGATTTGTTTTGATAAAGATCAAACAGTAAAAAAAAATAAAATAAAAACATTTCTCAGTCGTTGCTAAATAATTTTTTTTCCGACAAAAACAAACTATTCATCAGAGGTCAACAACAACAATAAAAAAGAAAATTTTATATAAATTTAAATGATATGCAAAAGGACATTCAATAATGAACACATATTTTAGCATATTTCATCAATTAATTCTAAATAAATGTGTGTAAAATGTTTAAAAAGTCTAATTTTATCAGTTAAAAGTAGAGAGATAGGCACTATTTTTAAAGTAAAAATGGTTAATCAGGTTTCTATTGATTAAAGTGCATAAATTCATAGCGTTTCTATTTTTTAAAAAGAAAACTATATATATATTTTATTTTTGTTTTCATTTTGGTTTCAAATTTTTTTTAAATTAGTTTTTTTTGATAATTCTACAGTTCGTCACATTCTCAAGATGTTTGTTTTCGTGTGTTCTATTTCAGTCACCGCATTAAATTAAAAAGCTAAGATAGATGATGTGTATATTTATATTTGTATTATTTATTCTCTTTCCATCTCTAGCAGTCTTTAAATTACTTCTTCTTATGACCGTGTGTTTTGTCGGCGGTGTATTGCTTTTGATGGTTAAAATCAAATTACTTTCATATATATATAGAGAGAGAGATGTATGTATGTATATATATATGTGGATGAATGTATATACGTATGTGTACATAAAGATCTAAATGCTTGTCTATTCAATTATTATTTTCCCCTCCTTCAAATAATAACACCCTCAAACACATAATCGTACTGATTATATTCGTGAAGCAACAAGCGGATCGGTTTGATGGTCTCTCTTTTTTTTTTCTTTCTTTCGTCAAGATTAAATTTCGTTTGATGTTAAACCGAATTGTAAATACAACATTCGTTAAAATCGAGTTTAAAAAAGCAATTGACCAAGTGTCGAAAAGCCTCTAGACATACAAAATACACACGGTACCGTCTACTTAAGAAAAACATACGGTTTCTCTTTCTCCCTCTCTTTTTGTTATTTCTTTATAAATATATTTTCTCTTTCTCTTCTTTTTTCTTTTCTTCTAATGTATTGGATAAATTTTTTCTTCTATGAAACATTGACCAATACACATTTTCTCTATTCAAATAAGCCAATAAAAAGATAAATCATTTAATTTTTTTTTTTTCACGTATATACGCGGTCGCGGATCAAAGTTTTGATATAATCATAGGGACGATGATGATTGTGCTCAATTATACTTTTCTCTATTTTCTCTTTTTGCACGGTGTAAAACGCCAAGAAAAAAAAATTTCTTATTAGTTAATATCTATCTATTTTAACGCATATAGATACAAAAAAAAAAGAAAAAGAAACATTCACAAGTTTTATTTAATCAGAAAATGGTACTTCTTGCTCATCCATTTTTAAACACAGCATCAATACCAAATATTATGGTAAGTGAGTTTTATTAATACATAAATTTAAATTATTTTTAATATTATCACACATTTTAATAGTAACTTTTCAAATCGTATCTAGTTTTTCTCCATGGTTAATTACCTTCAATGTCGAAGGTAAAACTTCTATTTTGAATGTTCGAGTCCATGCACTAAACAATAATTTCTTGGTCGCGTATACGCGTCAAATTGTTTGTTAGAGTGGAAACTGAAACTCAGTGGAATTTCAAATTCCACTAGTGGAAATTAGAATTTTAATCTCAACTAGTGCAGATTAAAATGTAAATGTCTACATATGTGATAAAACATGGATTTTCAGTAATTAACACTTTGAAGTAGAAATTTTAGTTTTTAAATTATTAAAACAAGATTACAACATCCGGCCGGTATTTCCAGACATGGAAATGAGGGAAAACGTAGCGTTATTACAGAGCCTTTATAGTATGAAATGCTTGATAGTACTTCAGAACATCAAGTACTTCATTACATTCTTGGAATATTGGTTTTCCACTCACTCCCACGTCTGGAAATACTCGCCAGATGTTTTTGGAAACTAAACTTTCTTCTTCAAAGTGTTAATTAATGAAAATTCCTGTTTTTTCACATATGTAGACATTTACATTTTAATCTACACTAGCAGAGATTGAAATTTTAATTTCCACTGTAACATATACAACAGTTTAGTACGAATTCATTCAGAGTCGTCACTTCTTACATACAAATGTTCTATTATCGTTTTTCATCATCTCTTAAATAGGAAAAAACTTGATTCTTAGGAAACTTTCTATTCCTATTCACAACTTGTGTATAACATGATGAAAATGATTTGATAATTTTTACTCATATAAAATTATAAAATAATTATCAAAGACATATGTATGATAGATTTATCGACGTTAAACAGCTTAACGATTAATAAACGTTGTTTTTCTCATTCTATTCATTGTTTTCCGTTTGAAGAAAAATTTCTAGTTCTAATTTTTTATCTTAAATATTTGAAATTAAGTACGCTAAAGAATTAAAAGATGAAGAAAATATTGTACAGAAAAGGATAAGTCTGTGATTCACCTATTTTAAACAAAGTCTACGAAAATAGAATAAAACCAGTAATAAATATAATTTCAGGAAATATAATAATAATGTTTTCATAAAAGCTACCGATCAACTTGTTGATACCCGTTGGACTTTTTTTTAATGTTTCGGGCAATTTTTTGATTAAAGGATGAAAACTGTTATAATTTGTTTAATAGTTAAGAGAGCATTGAACGGTCATTTTCTCATTTTATTTTTATGGAATCGCCGTATTCCTTCTCTCTATATCGTCTATATTCATTTTTGATAACTCAATTTTCTCTTTAGTATATAATCAGACCCTGGGCAATAATAAGCATATTTTGTTCTACATACCATCACTTTGATGACCAGTTATATTGCGTTTTATGTTTAAGACATAGACATAGATAGGTCAAATAATGCTTGAAGCTTGTTTTTTTTTTTTTTTTGAGAAGTCATTTTATACATGTGTACAGTTTTATTAGTTAAAAAATTACTTTTATCATGACCGCCTTATAGTTAATTAGATACTCATGGCTCATCATTATCTAAAATTATTGGTAAGATATTTTTTATACCATATAGAATAATTACATAATGTTGATTTATTATTTTATATTCGGCACTTGTCTTTTGAAAACGAACGGGTATATAACTAATATTAATGTTAGTAGAATGTTTTCTGTTGTTTTCCGCATATCTACACCTTATTTATAAAGATTATCAGCACAACCAATTCAACACAAAAAAAGAGGGAAAAAACTTTCTCTATTATATATCTTAATGAATCTAATGATCCATCATCAAGGAGGTACACACGTGGCTAAGACTTGGAGAGAAGAAATACAATACTTGTATATACACATACACACATATTTAGATACTTAAGAAAGTGCTTTGATCTTTTTACGTTTTTCTTTTGGCTACTTCAATCTACGTTTGTCTCTTCGAAAAAAAAAAAAAAAAAGTATAGAAGAACAAAAAAAAGAAAATATAACATATTAATACTTCGATTATGGACGCCATTCGACATCGAAGGTGACTTCAAAGGTTCCATGATTGATAGACAAATGCGATAGAAAGAAGAAAGAAACATAAGAAGGCAATCGGTCTTTATAGCTCGTTTCCGTATTTCAAAGAATAATACACACGCACATATACACTCACCAGTATTTAATTCCGATACCAATAATCCATGAGAAGAAATACATCTACCCAATTGTATATTAATCAAGATTAAATTTATATTTATATATATATATACGTGCATTTTAATATATTTTACATGAAAATGAGTTAATAAATAAACATTTTCTACTCCTTGAATTAAATGGAAAGTAGAATGCCTAAGGTAGTGTTTGTTGTAACTGATGTATTTCTCAATTTTTATATGACCATTGAATGTACGGAATTTTTCAACATAATTAATAAAATAATTTAATTCTTAATTCTAATCTGATATTAATATAAAGAAGTGTTTTGTTATTTTTTTCAAACGTCATTTGAAAGAACATTCAAAATAGCAGATCTCATACATTATTTGTGATGTAAAAAAGAATTTTACTGATGTTTAGTAAGAAATCGATACTTAATGTCAAACTGTCTGAAAAGTTTCTAATCTAAGAATTTCTACCTTCTGATCATGGTAAACTAATTTCTTCAACTAAAATTCTATTTAAATCTTAGGATCGTTCAATGGGAAATTCTAATTCATGTCCAATTGCACGACCAATTCCGGTTAATTCTAGTCAACATAATCATCGAACTATTTGTCCTGTTCCTATTCGACCAATCAATTCAAATATATTGTTACCTTCATTACAACAAAATGAAAAATTTTTGTCAGCATCAAGAAAACAGCAAGAATTTTTTCATGAATCTAATTATACAAAACATTTAAATTTATCAACTTTAAATAACGATGTTAACAAGACCATTGATTCATTACATCAATCACAATCATCATCATCATGGAATAGTTTAACATCAACGTCATCAAATATCAAACGTGAACCACAATGGCTTGATCCACAATTAAATATAAGAGCATCACCATCACCATCGACATTAGAACGTTTACATACAGAAGCTTTAATTCGTCATAAAACATTACAAATGCTCCATGCACGTTTCCCATTGAATAGCATTGATTTTCTTGCATCAATGACTGAAAATTCATTTACATCTCGTCTAACAAATAAAACCTCTACACTATTACCTTCGCTACATTCACATGCATTGGCAGCGATATTCAATTCGTCTTCATCATCGTCATCCTCTTCATCCTCTCTAAACAGTTCTTCTTCCAGTACAAACTCATTGAATACATCACTGCGTTCACCACCAATAAACGTACCGTTCAGTAATCAGAATACTCAAAATTCAAATAATGATAAATGGTGGTCGGTTAATGAACATTCAACATTGTTCGGTTCCGTCACACGAAGATGTAAACGTTGTCGTTGTCCAAATTGCATTAATCAAACTGATATTGATCCACATACAAAACGTCAACATATTTGTCATATATGTAAAAAACTTTATGGTAAAACATCACATTTAAAAGCACATTTAAGATGGCATGCTGGTGAAAGACCATTTCGATGTCATTGGTTATTTTGTGGTAAAGCATTTACAAGATCAGATGAATTACAACGACATTTGAGAACACATACGGGAGAAAAACGATTTCAATGTCAACGCTGTGTATGTATTAACTTTAAGAATTAAATTAGTAGAAGATTTGAATCTTTAATAGTGGATAAGAGACTAGCGCTTGGACTAAGAACTTATTTGATGTAGTCAACAGATCACTGAAGACAGAAAGAATTCTCATGATTCGAGAAAAATTTACTCTAAACAGTTATTATTATGTACATCTTTTCTTTCTAGGGTAAACGTTTCATGCGTTCCGATCATTTATCAAAACATTCTAAAACACACGAATTACCCATAACTACATCCCCATCATCGACAATAATTACTAATGATCGACAAAATTTTCATCACCAAACAGGAAGTGAATGTAGTAGTAATGTGGATCTAATGAAAAGTGAAAACATGGATAGTGACAATGATGATGAAATTATTGACGTGCAATATTAACGCTGTTTTATTCCCATCTTCTCAAAACGATTACAGTGATGTACATAAAACTCCTATTATCTTATGATGTATGCATCTATACAATACATGACCTGTTTTAATGAAAAAAAACAAACTTTGTTTTCTTATTTTTATGTTAATACTCGGTGATCTAAATTTGTATTGCAAATTTAATGATTGCACATATTGTAAGAAAAAAAAAGTAAAGAAATTTTTTATTTATATTAAATAAAAGTAATATTTATGATCACTAAATAGAAAATGATATTTTAGAGGCGGATTTGATACTAGTGGTAGAGCCTTCGTCTAAACAATTTTTAGGTGAAAATTGTATTTAAAGAGGGTCATCTATATTCAACGGAAAATATGATAAAAGAAACAAAATTTTAACTACGATAATAAAACTAAGCTGTTCAGATAAATGTAAGGTTAATCTAGTAGAACTATGATAGAGGCTAATAGTCTTGATTTTCAAAACATTAACGAGTTTTCTGCAAGTTCAAGTTCACGACACAAACTGGAAAATATCGAGGTTTTAAAAATTAGTCAATATTTTCGCAAAATTGTAGTGAAACGGAAAAAGACACTGACGTTTTATAGGTGAAGTGCATGCTCATCAGTTGAAGTTCAACAATCATACTCTCCAGATAGGAATTATTATTCAAAAGTTTTTGTATCCTAATAAAAAAATTATGCTATAAAATCCTAGAAGATAGATTTATTCATGTGTCACATGGCCGTTATCAAACCTGTCATAGATAATAAATATTATTAATGGCAAGAGTCCCGGAACACAATAGTTTTCATTGGCAGCCTCATATCTACGAACATAAAAATATTGTCATTGATCGATGAATTCGATAGATGATTCGAGCAGTATTAAGAAGCAAAAAAAGGATAAAATGCAAAAGAGAGTTATTAATACAGTATGTAGTAAATAAATATATACGAATACTTGAATAGTGAAAACAGAACTTACTTGAAGATATCAGCTTCGTTGACAATTAGAAATTATTGAACTTAACGATATTATTTCAGAAGAAACCAATATTTCTTTTCAAATTCTGATATTGTCGGTTGTTTCTCAACTAATGTGATCATAGACAAGTTTAAGACTTTTCTATCCTAGCACTATAAATATTATTCCCAAATACTACTGCTGAAAAATTTTCCGTACGATCCAAACTATTTTTTGTTTAACCATAACTCAGCAGAGAAGTGGTCTTTCAGCAAACGGTTTTCACCAAAATGTTGCCCATTTGTCCGAGTATATTTGTAGAAAAAAAATTGGTTATTCTTGTTTGTAGGTCGACATCAATGCCTGAGTACCTTCTCTTCGGGTATCGAAGAGCTGCAAAAATTTCCCGTAAGACTAATGTAATTGATTTTTTTGACTCATTAATGAACTTTAAAGCTATGAAAACTATACTAGCGGAAAGCGGAGAAGATAACGAACATTTTGGTAAAAAGGCTTTCTCAGGGCCGGCAGACCGATTTTAAGGTAAAGTTGACATTATCAACATGTAAACTCTGTATCTCGGTAATGAATGGATGAAATTGTTTTTAGACATATCAATGGAAAGAGCATCAGAAACTGCGTAAGAAAACGGCTGATTTAAAATTTTACGAAAAAAAGTAGACACATTTTTTTCGTCTGTTTGGTACAAATCTCATTCAAAGCATCTTCATTTTTACAGGTTTTTTACTTTTTATTATTTCCTTTATGACTTATTTATATTCATTAGAATCGCCATTAAGCGAGCTTTAAAAGTACGGATCGCCTTTTACTTTTATTTTGCTTTATCACTAAGAGAATACATTTTTTCTAAATTAGGAGTGAAAAAATCGGAATTCTGTCTGTAATTCTCTATTTTCTCCACTAGAACTCACTTTTTATGCAATAAAAATATCATATTCGGCGTCAGCACCGATAACTGAGTCAAATGATGTACTCCTTTATCCTAACCGATTACTTTTGCTTTTTCCTGAAAGTTACTGAGGTTTTCACCAAAAAAGGAAAATCAACGAAAAATTTCGAAACATATATCATTCAACTCAGTTTTCGATGCTGACGCCGAATATGATGATACTTTTATTACATAAAAGTGAGTTTTAGTTAAGAAAATAGAAAAAATGTCATCCATTCATTACCGAGATACAGAGTTTACATGTTGACAATGTCAACTTTACCTTAAAACCGGTCTGCCGGCCCTGAGAAAGCCTTTTTACCAAAATGTTCGTTATCTTCTCCGCTTTCCGCTGGTATAGTTTTCATAGCTTTAAAGTTCATTAATGAGTCAAAAAAATCAATTACATTAGTCTTACGGGAAATTTTTGCAGCTCTTCCATACCCGAAGAGAAGGTACTCGAGCATTGATGTCGACCTACAAACAAGAATAACCAATATTTTTTCTACAAATATACTCGGACGAATGGGCAACATTTTGGTGAAAACCGTTTGCTGAAAGACCACTTCTCTGCTGAGTTATGGTGAAACAAAAAATAGTTTGGATCGTATGCAAAATTTTTCCAGTAGTAGTAGATAATACTAGACTGTTCTATTAGCATGTGGCGCACCTTCATAACATGTTATGCTATCTCTCAAATTCATAGAACTATTACGATAGCTTGAGTAAGAAATTCAAATTTAATGAATTTGATTTATTCCCTACTCTAATTATCTATTGTAGATGACAGCACTATACACAAACACGTATAGGCGAAACAAGTCTTAGTGACATTTTTACCCAGAATCACATTGTGAAGTCTTTCTACAAACAATTATCATGGCTGCTAATAAGAAATGACGTAAATCGACGTGGAAAGATTTGGTTCTCTCAGTAAAAAATACATTGCAGGAGACTAAATACATACAATTGTTGAACCTTAGAAAGCTTTTTTGTCATGCATATAACAAACTGTTCAGTTTTGAGAGATGTCGTCAACTTATTTTCTGTTCTAGAAATTTCCAGAACAGCTTGGAGTAAAATATGACCAAGAAAGTCCACTGTGTTCGCGTAAGCGTTGCTTTATGAAGTTTTTTAAATGAGTTTGTGTCCTATGTGCAAAACTAAATATTTTGTTAGAATATTTTTGTGCACGATCAGATAAAAGCAGGAAAATCTTACGTACACGACATGATATGAGTATTTTCATCCTCTGAGATGAGTCATCTTGCTTCGAATTCTTCATGATTATATTTGCTTGGGCACTGGTTACACACATTTTAGATATAAAGATGGTTTTCTAAACGAAATTCATTTTTCTACGAGTGATGAAACGCTCAAAACTTTTCTGTTCGGCCGGTAAGTGCTGAGAAACACATTTTTGTTACATAGTTTAAATGTCTTTCTTTCACCGTTAGATTTGTTTATGAAATGTTTAAATAAAAAAAATACAGCTAATTCTAATCGTGTTTACAGCAATTATTTATTGAGAACTCATTTTACCTGGAAAGATCGCTATTTGACTTAAGAAAGTATCATTTTATAGACGACGAAGCAAAAGTGAAAAAGTATCGAACAACGTAGTGACAATCGAAGATTGTAAGTTGTTTTGGTAATCTTGCTTGATTGTCTCACTCAACGGGTGAGATGTCTGTTACGATTTAAATTTTCTATCCAACAATACACTTGGTTGTAGGTAATGAGCGCGCATATTCAGCTAGACGACAATGATTATGAGTCATTGTTTGTATTAGGTAATGATCATACATTATCTTCTGCATCGGTAAGTGTTTTCCATTGATTCTTATAATCGAATTCGACATATTTTTCTCTTCCAGAAATCGGGAGCAATAGAGAATGATGCTGATATTGATGTTTCCAACACACCACCGATGGGATTAGACAATTGTATGTTTGATCTTCCAAATATAGGTACTAGAGAAAACTACGGATAAACATTCATGTATTTCATGAGAGATATTTTCCCACGTAGATTCATGGCAGTTTGATATGAATAGTCCATTTTCGGATGATGTCAACGAATTGAATCAGTTGTCTGTATTCATCGACGGTAAAGTAAGTAGTCGAGAAAAGAGTTAGTTTAATATAATTTTTCGTTTTTTTATTTAGGATCCAATAATGATCGACGATAGTCGGTTGGACGATCCTGCAATAGATCAATTTCTTGCTGAGTTTGAATTTGCTCAAAGAAAAGAGCAGCTTCAACAAATTGTACGTAGTTCTGTCATGCGGAAGTGAGCGGATCAAATTTTGATGTTCCGTTCACTAGTGATGTAAATATTTCTTATCATTTTTCGCGTCTTTCTAGCCATGTCTATCACCTTCACCACCTCCTCTACCTTGTAATATACAAGAACAAACAATAAAATCGCCTTCAGCATTTCCAGCTTCAATCGTACCGATTGCATCGACTCAATATCAACGTACAGTATTGCCTAAACCTTTCTCAACTCATAATTCGATACCGGATACAAATTATCAACAGCAACAAAACTTACAACCAATAACAAGTTGTGTCAAATTGCAGTCATACACAAATACTGCTACAAGCGGGAAGAAATGTGTTAAAATAGAACCACTGCAATCTTCAAATTCACAAGCATCACCAAATATCACAATAATAACAGCAACAAAACCGATTACGGTTACAAAGCTCCCTTTAGTCACAGTACCAACCGCTGGATCTCAAATTACATTTGTGAAATCAGGTAAAACCTGTTTCTTCATCTGACCTTGATAATTTTCTCTTTAGTTAGCACAATTCTGTTTGTATTTTTACCTGGTTTTGTCTATCTCTTTGTTTCTTATTTTTGTAGAACCTGATCCAAGCAATTCAGCAGTAAATCATGTTACAACAAAAACTGACAAGAATACTTATTATTCAGCAGCAGATGTGATGACACCACCTGCCAAACGTCGTCGTTCTCAAAGTTCTTTGCAACAACAACAGACGGCTACCCCATCACCGCTTACAGCATCAACAATTGAGACGAATTACACTATGACAACGCCTCCAGTTGCCACAATACAAACTTCTCCGCTTACAGCAACAACAGTAACACTTGATCAGCTCAAAGTACAGTATGGAAATGCTAGTGTGAGCATTGGTTACGAAAGCGTAAAGACTATTCGTCATGTTTCAACGTTTCAATTCTAGGAAGAAGCACTTAAAAAACATTTACGTATGATTAAAAATCGAGAATCAGCCAGCTTATCTCGTAAACGTCGAAAACAGGTATGTTGTTGAAATAGCTTTTAAGTGGAGCGAAATAACTGAAGTATTTTTGGTTTTTATCGTTATAGTTAATGGAAGATCTTGAAGTTAAAGTTAAAGAATTAACTGACAATAACGAACGTTTAAAAACTGATAACAGTAAATTGCTTAACCATGTTCACACACTTGAAATAGAAGTAAGTTTACTTGTTTATACCAAACTGGAACAGAAAGTTTTGATAAATATTTCTGAAGATGAATACTACTTTTTCTTTTTATCTGAAACTGAGCGATTTAACCGACTTTAAGTTGAATATCGTGTATTAACTTATTTACTTTTTCTTTCATTCGTATATGTATACACTGTATTGATCTAATTAGTAGTTATAGGAACTCAAAGATAAAGCGCATAATATGAGCATTGTTTGCGAAAGTGAATATCTCATTATCGAATTTCCCAGATTAAATGGCACTTCTAGCATTTCCTCTACAACGTTTTTGTGTTCACAACTCTTAATTATGTTTTCATTAGATGCGTCGGTAGCTACTGCTCTACGAAAACATAAGGAACATATTTTTGTAGACCTGGAAAATAAAAAATCAGAGGAAATACTGTGAACTTCAATCTTCATTACTTTGTAATCTGAAACACAACGAAAGAAAAGCTTATTTTGAACACGGTCGCTTGCATGAAAGTGAAATCAAAATAGATGTTGCAATGGTTCGAAGTGTCGCCTTTCTTTTCGTGTATCATAGGTTCGATTTGAACCTATTCTTGCGATACAAAATGCGATTTTATTAAAACTTAACGCCTCACCATTTAAACTGGGACACCCGAATATAAGAATTTTTATAAAACTAAAAGCTTTTTCAGACAAATTTTTATTCTATTTACTACTAGTTTTATGAATTTTTAGAAGTATTTGGGGTTATAAAAAATAAGCTAGAGTAGAGCTCTTCTTTTTATCTCACTTGTTATTTGAATTGTTTTTTAATCGACTTGTGAATTTTTCTTATAGAATGAACTACTAAGATCCTGCAGATTTACAAATTCACCAATACGTGCTCGTAAACCTCTTATTTTGATGGGTATTGTACTATTGGTTGCAGTCAATATATTTACATTAAAGTACTATTTCTATCGACGACCGATTACTGTTTTTTCAGTATGTTATTCTCAATTTTAGATCACTTTCTCCAACCTCAAATGATATGACTAATACATTAGCTATTTATGATCGTCCAGAACAATATGAACGTTCATTACCCATGGTTCCTAGCCGCGCTATTTTAAGTTATAATGAAACACCACAAGATGAACCTGATGATATGATAGGTACGAAATATCCGTATCTTCAGTGTGTGGCATTTATTAATAAAACACATTCACAACGGTAAGATTATTTCATTTTTTCTTAAAACTTGCAACTTTTACCATCTGCGGTGGCGTTTCTTCGTTAGGATAAACAAAGATTTACATTCATGGGTCGAAGATCATAACAAACATGGAAACAAAAATGGGAAGGGTTCACCGTCAGTTATTCCTAATCATATACCATTAACAATACATACTCAAAAACCAACGACAACAGATGAAAAACTAAATGATAACGTAAATGATGCATCATCAAAATTAATTGTGCGAAAAAGATTACATTCACAGTATGTTGTTTGGGTTTTCTTTCAAAAAATAGCAGAGAGAACAAGACTAAACATCACAACATAAACGTTAGATTTAGTAAAATATAATCTTGTATTAACACTTCAGACTTAACGAATGAACGTTGTCTCTTTAGCTATGTTGAAAGTATAAGAGTAGTTAAACTTTGCTTTTAGAACTAACAATGACATTGCAGTAGACGAAGTACAAGATCATCAAGCAATGACAAGAGAAAGCAATTCCTTACAACCTTACCATCGACAAGATCGAAATTATGATGAATTTTTTCGGGCTATTGATGGAAAAAATGATACTGTATATATTGTATCATTCAAGCGAGTAAGTTTATCCACTTTTTTTTCACAATTGTTGAATGTATCGTTATGATGTAAACAAGAATTTCTTCACATGATCATATTGACATGAACACAATTTTAACAACTACTGAACGATATATTTACTAGCATAATGTCTCTTTACTGTTAATTTGTAATACATTTTCAATTTTATTTTAGGATCATTTAATTCTACCGGCAACTGTTCAAAATCAAACACAACGTCCGAAAATGTCGTTGATTATGCCTGCATCGATAAATAATATCAATAGTATGTCTACTCTAATCATTCATCTTCTGTTATTGTCTAATAAATACGTTTTTTTTTTTGTTTTTTTCTGTAGAATCAATAGCTATACCACCAAATCATGTTCCGATGATTCGAATTGATTGTGAAGTGGATGATACAAAACTAGTTTATGTCAAACGTGATTCTATTCCATTTCTATATCGAAATGGTTTATTTCATCAGTATACAACAGCACCACAAAACTCATTCAGTTAGAGAATTTTTCTACATTCATGCCTTTATGAGACATAGTTAATGTATCATCAGTTTGCATATATATAAATAGTGTTTGATTTAATCTACTTTTTTCTCATATTTATTCTTGATAAAATTGTATATCGTTTATTCTGCGTAATTATTTTTGATAATATTTTGTAAATGAATGGATAAGATTAAAACGTAGAACTTTAAGAATAGTTGCGGCTCATATGTTAAAAATTTTAATAAAAATCAAAATAAACAATTAAAATTACAAGTCACTATTTCGACCTATTGATACGGTCATTTTCAAGTAGCTCTTCGTATAGAATGTTATATATAAAAATGAAAATAGTACGACTGACTATATATATCTAATGTTTTGTCTTGCCTTTCTTTCATTTACATATAAACATACACACTATGAGAGAAGACTAAGAGTTCTTTTTTAATATTTAACTAAGAATATTTTTTTATGTTTATTTATTTTTTTGCTAAGTAATACATCAATCAAAATACGATTTTCATGATAAAATGAACTATTGATTTTATTTTGATTGCTTGTATTAGATAGACAGACAGAAATTATTTTATTTTTCCTGCAGAAAAATAGGGGTTTTTTGACAGGGTTTTTTTTCCGTTGCTAATTTTTATGTTGTAAATGCTTTCTTGTTTTCTTCTTTTCAATCTCATATTATATTGTGTATAGAATATTATGTTTTCGATATAAATTAATTACATATGTGTTACAACGTCTTTATTTATTTTGTTTATTGTTGTTTTCAAATATGTTTCTAATAGAAACAATGTTTTTCTTTCTGGGAGGGGCGTTTCCACCAACCGGAAAAGGGATTACGGTAAATGAAATCAAAAAATATTGAACGAGAAAAATATCGATATGAAGTGAATGTTTTATATTTATTTTTAATCTTTGAATACTGTTATATGAATTTTCTTGTGCTTGTTGTAAAATCTTTTCATAATATCCTCAAGAACTCTCTCTGTAGTTCAGGTGCTTTTGTTATAATTTGATTCTTCGTTGTTGTTGTTTTTTAAACTTCGCTATTTGTCTATTTGTAGCATATATTTCATACGATTGTTTTTCTATATTCTGCTGTAAAAATGGTATCTTTGTTTAGTTTACGAAAAAAGAGATGAAGAGAAAAGAAGAGCGTTTGTACATGGTAGTATTTATTTTATTTATTCAATTTATCGATGCTTTTGTGTAACTATTATGGATAACTGTGAATAAAACATCAGGAAAAAAAGTATCTACTCGTCGAATGAATCGACAAGTAAAGAATATCGTAGAACCAAAGGCTAAAGATGTTTTTTTGCCATTGATAAGGTTACTAGTGAGAATATTAGTTCTTTCAATTCTTTTTTAATAGCAAAATTTTTCATATAAGAAAGAGTTTCACACAGGCATGTTTTCTCACTTCATTTTTCTCCTTAACTATTTGTTGAAGAATGTTAACCATCATAGATCATTATTCTTTCGTTATGATGTTTTTCACCACATGAAAAACAAGAACCATTAGTGATTATGCATGGATATAAAGTTTAGTCTGCCTGATATAAAATTTAAAAAGATATACAGAGAGCTAAACTCATCGCTGTCTTTAATCTGCACTTAGAAGATTTTTTCTGTTCGAATTGATCATAAACGTCGATATAAATTGTAGTGTCAAACGAAATTTCAGTAAGAAGTTTTTGCCGTATGTATTGCCGCCACTACGATAGAAAATAATGAATAAAATGACGTATGATATTCTTTTATATACACCTTGATCATATCAGTTTTGTATCGGTTTCAATCTTAATTTCATTCATCTGTCAACATATCAGAACTGATTCAAATAGTATGAAACTGCTCTTTAGCATTTATTTGACAAAGACATTAGTTCATATATGGTAAAAACAACAAGGATATGTGAAAATTTAGTTTCTTAATTTTAGATTCATACTATGTCGGACGACAAACAAACTGGTAATTTACTCGAACAAGTTCGTAAAGTAACAACGGTAGTAGCTGATAGTGGTGATTTTGAAACATTGAAAAAATATAAGCCGACTGATGCAACAACAAATCCGTCGCTAATTTTACAAGCAGCTGGAATGTCACAATATGATCATTTTATTGATGAAGCAATTAATATGTGCATGGAAAAACAGAATAAAACACAAGATAATAAACCGAATTGTGATCAAGCTCTAATTGATGATATAATGGATCATTTATTTGTTGTATTTGGTCGAGAAATATTAAAAGTGGTACCAGGACGAGTATCAACCGAAGTAGATGCACGTTTATCATTTGATAAACAAGGACAAATAAATAAAGCTCGACATTTAATTGGATTGTATGAAAAAATGGGTATAGATAAAAAACGAATATTAATTAAATTATCATCCACATGGGAAGGTAAATCTTTAGTTAAAAATGAAATTTGAGACAAAAAGAGATCACACGTGAGAACTTCAGTTTTTTGTTTTTTACATCGACGAGATATGTTCTGAAGTAGACAAGATTGATATTAACGTAATAGTTCTCTTTTCTCTTCAAGGTATACAAGCAGCAAATGAATTAGAAAAACAGCATGGTATTCATTGTAATATGACATTGATATTTTCCTTTGCTCAAGCGTTAGCTTGTGCAGATTCAAATGTCACTTTAATATCACCATTTGTTGGTCGTATCTATGATTGGTATATTGAAAAACACGGTAAAAAAGAATATGGTATTGAAGAAGATCCGGGTGTTCAAAGTGTAACAAAAATCTTTAACTATTATAAAAAATATGATATCAAAACAGTGGTTATGGGTGCATCATTTCGTAATGTTAAACAAATAATTGGTTTAAATGGATGTGATTTATTAACAATAAGTCCGAAACTATTGGAAGAAATGGAAAAATCAACGGATCAAGTTAAACTTTATTTAAATAAAGATCAAGCTAAACAGTTGAATGATATTGAACATGTGGATAAACTCGATGAAATAAAATTTCGTTGGATGATGAATGAAGATGAAATGGCTAATGATAAATTAGCTGATGGTATTCGTAAATTTGCTGCTGATGCTAAAAAATTAGAAGATCTGATCCGAAAACGTTTAGAAAAACAAAAAAAATAAATAATAATTGCTGTCAAAAACTTCATGCATATATATTCATTTATACACACAGTCTTTCTCTCATTTTTTTTTTTGGAACTATACATCTCGATACAGCAAAATTTGGGTATTTATAACAGATACTTATGATGTTCTTACTTTTTTTTTACACGATGTGTCTGTTATTGGATTCATTAGATTCTTTGTTCAGTTTTTAATTTTATTCAAGTTTAACAATCGTACTGGTAGTACAGACTAATTTTTACTTTTTTTCTTCTTCTATATTTTCTATACTTTGCCACATCTCGCGATATTACACCATTTTTTTAGTTTTTCAGTGAACATTTTTTGTGATATTCTAGCGACCAAGTCTTATAACGAACTTTATTTTTAAAAAAGGTGAATCATCATTCGTCATTTCTTTTTACTTTAGTTTCCCATTGATAGATATTCTGATTATTTATTTTATTATTCTTTATGTCAACAAATTTTTTACTCATATTTACTGACAATAACTTAATAACAAAAAAAACATTTTTCAATAAAGTTTAACTCAATCAAAATATGTTTAGATGCAATAAAAGTACACATTATTCTTTAGAAACGAATTACATTCGACAAAGTCTTCTTTTCAGGGAACTACTGATTATCAATGCTAACATATCGTAGTAGAGCCATCATATCACACTGTAAAACTGCTGGATATAGTTTCACATACATTCTGTAACGTGAGCAAAACATGCCGATGATTCAGAAAAAATTGATAACGATCTATTATAAAAATAATCACCTTTCTCATAAACAACTTTAGCGACTGTAAGTTTATATAATTCAACGTAATTTTTTTTAGTAAAAACTAGCCGGAGATAGTGTGAAAACGTTTTAGAAGGGGGAGAGGAGTGCCATCGCCCCCTCTCACATGGATCCGCCAGTGACGAGAGTTAGAAGCCGTGGAAACGAATTTTTTGGAAAAAACTGAATAAATCCTTAAAGTTGTGAAAGTCTCACAGTATTCTATTTTCACATTTTTTTACGCTCCGAAACCTGCAGAGACGTCATTTCTACGGTTTCACTGCCCCTATTATCTCGTGAGATTAATGTCGTGATCTGTATCAAATGAGAAATATCTTGCTAAGCAAACAGTAATTTTGAATATTGGAAAATATTAATTCCTTCCTGGAGAGAAAAAAAACGAACTTATTCATCATCACTTCTTTTTATGGTTAATAGTTTTAATGGTGAGATGATGGAAAACTAATAAGAATTATGACCATGAAATACAGGACTTCCACTTCCGTTTTATACGTGTCAATCATTTTGAATCAAACTTGACAACGGTGTTATGCAAGGAATGTATGTATATGTACAAGACTGTGACATAGTGAACAATGAAGAAACCTACATACTAAAACAACAATCTTTTTTTTAATAATATTCTTTTCTTTCATTTACCGTAAGGTTCTTTCTTCTTTTTCTATACTGACACAACAATCAACGGAGTGCTTTTATTCCTGGTTTCAGTATAATAAGATCAAAAAAAAAAAAATAAATGTATATATCAGAATCTTGTTGCAAAATCATTCAACAAAATTTTCAAGAACACTTTTTCTTCTTTAAGCGTATATATATATAACAGATAAAGAAAAAAATCTGAGATATTGAATTTGGCTTAAAAGTTGTAAACCGTTAAATACTATTTCTGATTTAGAACAAAGAAAAAGCGAAATTTCCAATAAAAAAAAATATTTTTATACCTACCTACTCGAATGATTATAGTATTCTAAATTAAGCTCTTTCAAATCAATGAACATCTAACGGTCTCTCTCTCTCTTTCCGTATATATATATTTCTATATATAGCTATAGCTATATAGAAATATACGTAGTTAGACACAAACAGACATGTGTGAACAACGATTAACAAATATGGAGAAGCTTCATCTCGATGACAGATTGTCACAACAATTTAAACAAACAGTTTTGAGACATTTATTGGGTACGTAACGAATATTGTGTAATTTAGTTGCTATAGAAGTGTACTTCTTTATAAAGTAAAGATAAATGCAAATTAGAAATCAATGTACCTTATGGTTAGAGAATGTGAGAAGTTAACCAATAACACAATCCGCAAACTCAAAAGAAGTACATCGACGATTGCGATTTAAGGTCAGCTAAAACAATTTAAGAATAGGCGTCAGATAAGCAAAATTTTCTGTATCATTATCTGCATTTTACGATTTTTATTTGTATTTGACTTTTTTTTCTAATAATTTTCTAATAAACATTTAAAACTATTTTGGTATGTTGAAGGAAAGTATATAGTAGAACTGATTAGAAGGATTTGTACATCCATGAATGTTTACTTCTTCAAATGTTCAAAGAAAATAACACTTCTAAAAATGAAGCATGAACGTGTTTTATTTTGAAATTGCAACGATAATCATCAATTGTTGATAATAGCAAAAATGATTATTATTATGAAATGAAATATTAAGTGAACAAAAAAAAAAAAATGAGGGGGAGAAAGAGAGAGAAAATATTAAAAAAAGAAAATGATTTTTTTTTTTTAAATAAAGAAAAATTATCTGAGATATTTGAAATTCTTTTTCAATATGGATTCTGTTTTTATATATACGTTTTTTAAACACTTAAATTTTTTGTTAGTTAAAAGAGCTCCTTGAAATCATTTTGTTTTAAGGGCAAAACAAAACAAAGCTAACAAAACAAAAATGCACACTATTGTGCCTTCTTTTTGTTCATATGTGATCGCAAAGTAAAAAACTGATGGAAGAAGTTTATGTTTCATAGATTGCATAATTGATGTAGAGAGATCTCTTTTTTTAATTGTCTATACGAGAAAGAATTAGAGGTCAACGAAATATGCTTGTCAAATCAAACAAAATTTAGTGTGGAGTTTGTTTCTTAAAATAATGAATACATCAGATCTTTCGTTGTTTAAACTTCCGCCAATTCATTCGGGAAAAGTAGATAGTAAAGTTGAAATTAAGATAAATGAATATAAACCTGGTCAGTAGTCTCTCTCTCTTTCTCTCTCTTGTTTTTGCTCTACATTGATTGATTTTGTTCACCTGTTCTAGGTGCCATTCCGTTTGATCAATGGCGAGCTAGTATACATAAACAATTAGAAGATGATCTACAACGTAAAGTTCATGAAGTTTTAGAAGAAACAGAAAGACAAGAACGATTTGCAAGATTAAAATTTCAAGGGTATGTAGTAAATAGATTCAAGAAATAATATACATAAAATGGGCTTGATAGTATCAAATAAATGTTTCCATGAGTCTAATGAGCGAGATAATGACTATAAAAATGAATATATTTCAAATTTGAACGTTTCATATTCTTGTAAGTTGGTTCACATAGCTTACTTTTCTGCATCATATATGGAGTAAACGTATTATATCGTTCATAAGTACTAAGCATTAGCTTCAATTTTCTAAAGTAATTTTTGATAAGATATGTTTGACTGCTAATGACTGTACGCGATAGAGTCATCCTCTATGTTAGATGACATTGTACCGTTTATATTTTTCATTTCGAACTGTTTGTCTGAATACATTCTAAAAGTGCTTTGAACTAATTAAATTGGTGTAGTTTTTCATCAAGAATTACTCATTTCATAGCGTACTAATTAAATTATGGCACATAACATAGTTTCTCCGACTTGTCAATAGTATCTGATCAGCATGTGTAGAAACCTCTAACAATTGGATGAAAGAATTTTGTATCAAGATAGTTTTCTGTTCAGAGCTGCAGTTTTTATCTAGTAAATGAATGGGCGACCGACAAGTATCCTGCATCGAAAATGGCAGTTGCGAAGTGGGATCTTCTTAAAGTACAAAAGAAAGCTTTTGTGTAGTGTATAAAAGCACAGGATTATCTACTACATATCCAGTGTTTTTTCTTTTGCACAATTGTTGAAGTTCATACTTGTTATTTTTTGCCTTTTCTGTAAGAGTTCAATCAATCCCAACCCAGATACACTCCATTCGTTACTGTATTTTTTCGTTGAAAACTGACGTTTCAACAAAGATTTTCATTTTTCAACTGAGCCACAAATAAAGATCCCTCTTATATCGTCAGTTAATTCTCCGGTGCACATTCGTTCAACTTTCCACACATCTGTCCCAGTTAATATTTTTACAAAAGTCTTTTTTTTCTGTAATATATTTTGAAGTTGAATCATAGTTACTCCCTCATAGTTTCTTCTAAATAATTTTTATACAACATGAAAAAAGTGGAAGATGAGATAAATATTAAGTTTAAAATTGCAGCTGCAAATTTCAAGTGATGCTTTAAGGCGAAAAAATCGATTTCATTTAGTGCGAAAAGTGGAGAAAAGAATATTTTCTATTTTCATATTTATCGGATTCTTAATTATTTATTTATCCACTTTTATGGTAAATTTTAGCCATATTACCAGTCTCTCACTCTTCGTAGAGTAATTTACTACTCGAAGAATGTTGTTTCAGAATGATGTACTTTCTCGATGAATAACAACCACATAACATTAGTCCACTATCACTTTCGACTTGTGGGAGTTAATTACATTTACTATTTAAATTACTATGTTATCCCATAAATGTAATTCTCAGAACATCATCTTCATTCATTCTTGAGCAACTGAATTTAAAGAGTAAACAAAGAATATTGACAGATAGCAAGCACAATATTTGAGTAGTATCTCGAAGTACTACTCATTAACGGTATTCATCTCGAAATATATCATTAAGCCCAATTAGTTATAGTCATTTCGAAAACTGTAGAATTCCAAACTTTACGAAAAATGTAACGCATTTAGTGAATGTAGCATATCAACACGCAAGAAATGACGAAGTCGATACAAACAACAGGCAGGAACATGCGAATAAAGCCTCTGTGATCCATGGCAACGTGCGCTTCCTGCGTGTTATTTTTCCCACACTCGTAACTTCTTGCGTATTTGTGCCACAAATTCGCTAAACGTGTACAATTTTTCGTAAATTTTGGAATCCTGCAGTT